TTCATTTAACCATCAATTTATGTTGTGCCTCCTTTTTATTCATCATGATTTACTTTACTCTTTCCCGGTTTTTCTTTATATTTTTTTAGGTCCTCAGATAAACGACGCTTATTTGACACAGAGTCACTTAATTGGACTCGCTTGGCCACGGCTGGAGGCGACAAAGTTATCCGTCTCTGGCGTGTTGATCTAGAGCCGGTCAGTGCTTGTTGTAAGGTGTCTCACAACTTGGATGCTGCTAAACCAGCCCCCGTCATCGGCCCTTCCAGTAATGTGTCGGGCCCTCTCTTCGGTAACTGCGCTCCTTTCATGGGGATTTCCAGTGGTGTCAGTTTGAGCTCGTACTTAGCCGATTCACAGCCACCTCCACCAGCCAAACGCCACTCTCTTCGAAGTGTGGAGTGCACAAGCGTCCCAAAGCCGACGGAAGGAGGACTTATTTTCCTCACCTCTCTTCGTAGGCACGAGAAGCCGGTGAATGTCGTACGTTGGTCACCTACAGGTTTGTGAACTCATAAGACACTAAACTCGAAGCCATTTGCAATACTAAAACACTGATGACTGATTCTATATGTCATTTCTCATGAGTTATAGAGCGATTATTTCACTTTGTATTTTATCTTGACTTGGTTTTTATTTGAAGACTTATTGTTTCTATCATTTATATTTTTTCCGTGTTTTTTTAAATCTAATTTGTTCATACCTTTCGAAATAGATTGAGGCTAATGAATATTAAAATCTGTTACCTCGTCCTCATTTCTAAGCAAATTCCTACTTGCCCTTGGTTGTGGGTGAATCGATACACTTATTCGACGAAAGAATATTTGTTTATTGTATGATTTTGTTCATAGTTCATTTTAATTCATCTGTTCCGCCCATTCGCTGTTGCGATAATCTCGCATCAAACTTTTGAGAAATCAGAACCCTGGGTTCACAGCCTCTTTTCGATTTATAGGAATCATTCAAATTCGTTTTTGCAACTTGTTTGTGCTGTCAGGGCGATATTAATGACCACATCTCGTCCAGAGTCTTCATGATAATTCCTAACATCGGACCAACCAATAGGTACATTTTAACATGCATATGCGAAATCATCAGTAAGACATGTTTTTCGTAAAGCGTCTTTAAAATGCTGGCTCTCTTCGCCTATTGAATGCTACTTATAGTATTTCGAGCATGGGAAGCAATCGAAATATAGGCTTAATTAATATTGGGGGGACTTTCATTTCGTCTAAAAGTGCATAAGAAGAGATTCGTCGGTTGATCTCACCAGATGAGGACGGCTGAATCTCGCTGTACTGCAGCTGTTTTGTCTTGTATACGACGTTCAGGTTGACGAAGTCCATGAGATCTTTTTCCTCGTTTTGGATGAAAACGAGCTGAGCTTTCGTCCATCATATGATGGACATCCTCAAAGCTGGGTCTCATTCCTGTTAACACTAGGGCTTCCTACAAAATGAAAGTCTTCTCAACAATGTTATCTCAGGAGATTAATCGAAACCCAGTTTCTATTCGTATTTAATTACTATTCTATTCATATTACACTTCTGAATCACTGGCTTAAGGCTCCGACAATATTTAAAACTATTCACATGACTCAATTATCCTTCCCCATACATTATATACATGCTTAATAATAATGGGTCATGAATACTTGAGATAGACGCCTACTTTCACGTCAGAGCTTTCTGCAGTGCATTAAGAAAGAATACATACGATAAAAAGTTGGGCTTTAAGGAATCTCTTTGAACACCTTTCGAGTTAATTTAATCTTGAGTTAAGATGTGTAATTAAGAGGCTTGAGAGTCGATCTCACCAGATGGTGATAGTGGATTCTTATTGGCCAGCTTGTGTTTTGCTTTAATAGAAGGTTCTGCTTTACTCAATCCCAGAGGTAATCTCTTTCGAATCCGAAGAAAATCTGCTAAGATCTTGTCTGTCGTTTGTATAGTAAACGGTCCTTCCGGGTTAATTTTTTTTCCTGATATTTTTAATGCCAAGTTGGCTATTTGAATTTGAATTCTGACATTTCGTTTACATTTAAATCTGAAAAAAATGTACATTAAAACTCGACAAACACTATGATCGTGTAAAAGCGGTTTGACCTTGTTTTCGCAGCTTGGTCATATCGTTAGGAAGACTTAGAGGAACGCACCTTGTCAGGAGTCCATTGTATGCATAATCATTTCCAGAGTAGGACCGTGGACGTGGTACATTCCCAGACGTTTCGCATGCATCGTAGTCGGCATCATCAATGAGTCTCGCCATTCTTAGCACCATTCAACAACTCGTCAAAGAGACAAGTGAAGCCGATCCTTTGACCAAGCGTGTGCTAAACAGTTGTGGTATCTTCCCCTTCTGCCCTAGACTATTCACATTTCCTATATCATCCTATCACACCTTCCCTGTCACAATTTTTACCGTGCTTATTTTGATGT